CACATCTAGGAGGGGAGAGGGGGGAGGAGAGGAGACAAGGAGAGGAGGTCCATGACCTCGGCCCAGAGTCTGAGCCACATCTAGGAGGGGAGGGAGGGAGGAGAGGAGACAAGGAGAAGAGGATGATGTCATAACGTGTGAATGAAGAATGTATAATTGTATATAAATATTTTAAAATGTGTACATATGGAGTCACATGTTCAGATGTATTTATTGTTGAAGCACCGAAGTAAGAGAAGAAGAAGAACAGGAAGTGAAACCGATGACTCATCAAACCTGCAGCTCCAGACAACTCTTCAGCTGTTTGGTTCTGGTCTCATGACTCACTTTCTATGGAAGCCCATTTCTGTTTTATGTAAATATGTTTTGTACATTTGATTTACGTATTCTTTTAATTAAACATTGCAAGCACAATTTTACTTACCCTATTCAAGGGCCTATATACAGTATATATAGGATTTATATACTGTATATATATGTATATATATATATAGACATATATTTCTTTTTTTTGCCGCAGACATCCATACTTTTCTCTCTTATAATAACTTTAATATTCATACATTTTAAATGAGAACATTTTAAAGTTGTGATCAGATTAAAATAATTCTCTTAAAACAATATGTGTTAATATGTGCAGCGAGACAACAGAAGAGTTTTATTTACATTACAGTCATTTATTAGACGCTTTCATCCAAAGAGACTTACAATTCAGATTCTATCACATTTCTACACCGCAGGCTCAGCTACGGCAGGTTAGCATCATAAAGTTAAAGCTCTTTATTTGTCATATGAACAACGATTCCAATATATAAGTCGTCTCAGGCACCAACAATACCACCACAAAATGTACAATATAATATAATATAATATAATACAATATTGTGTGTTGTTTTTAGTTGTTTGTGTTCATTTATTGTACATTAATTAACTTATTTAAACTCTTCACTGTAACTGGGAATATATTCACGTGTTTCCACTGCCCTGTGGCGCTCACAGTGACTTTTATTTTGAAGTTTTTTTACAGGAACTCTACGCTACGCTACAGAGTCTGCTACACAGAAACAGACGTGTAGTTACACACGGAGACCATCAGAGGGAAGCGTACACATGTCATAAATAACGAGCAATAAACTGGACAAAATGTAAAGGCAGTCACAACATCATACTAAAGATTTTCAAAATAAAAGTTTTTATTGTAACCATCATTAATAAATGGCACATTGGTCGTTAATTGAACCTTAATTAATATTGTTAACATATCAGCTGCTGCTCTCTTCCTCCTCACAGATAAACTTCCTCCATCAAACAATAAGGTTTATTCCTAAAATCAATATCACATCTAGAAAAAAATAAAAAGATGTAAACATGAGGGGGATGTGGCGTTCAGGGACCGACTTATTAAGGTTTGAGAAGCTGAAGAAGAAGAATTCAAACATTGTGTTCAATTAAATATTAAATGTTTGCATTAATATGAGTGTTGTTATACATTTTTAAAATGGTGGGTGTCTTTATAGAATACATGATTTAATAAATATATATTTTAAATACTATATTGTAGTTTTAAGCACTTTAAGTGTTTATTGATGTACAGTCAACTTAAAACTTCTCTCATGAAGACTTATTCTACATTATTACAGCTGTGTTTTACGAGACATTCATTATGTGTTTATGCAGCAGCCTCATAAATATGAAAAATAAACATTAATACCAACTACATTATAGTCAGTATACAAACATGTATTAAATGTTTGTATACAAATGCTAAACAGTGATGCCAAACGATTCTGCAAACATTAGACACAATAACGTTTTTTTTAACAATGTCAGCAATAAATGTTTATTCATGTTGCATTAAATTAATAAATTCTATTAAATCTAAACAATGGGCAGTCTAAACACGTTGGCTCTAATGAATAGTTTCACATTTTGTGAAATACACTTCCTCACTGAGAGTACACTAAACATCAAGCTGGTTAGCTTAGCTTAGCATAAAGACAAAGCTCCTCTAAAGATCACAGATGAACAAGTTGACATATGTGAAGGTTTAATCTGCACAAAAACTGAATAAAATTTTCCTCTTGTTAACATTAAAGAACAAAAGTTCAGACAGTTGTGTGTGTGTGTGTGCATGTTTGTGCGTGAGGGTGTATTTGTGTGTGTATGTATGTGTGTTTGTGTGTGAGTGTATGTGTGTATTTATGTGTGTGCATGTGTGAGTGTGTGTGTGTGTGTCATGTAAATGAACAGCGGTGTCACCAGCAGTGACTTCCTAATAATCAGACTTCCTCCGTCTCGCTGTGAAGAAGGAAGTCAAATATTTGTTCCCATCAGAGATTCACACAGACAGGCGAGTACTTCAGGTAACTCTCTCTACTTCTACTGTAGTATTTTATATGTGTTGTATGTATACTGTAATATTTTATGTGAGTTTGTACCTTTGTGTTAACTGAGTCTGTTCATCTGATGTGGTATTTATATATTTCATTTAAGTAAAAGTATGAATACAACAATGTAAAAATACTCACGTACAAGTCTAGCATCAAATACTCCTTAAGTAAAAGTACATAAATATTACCAGCTTCATGTAGCTACTTACAGTATCAGTAGAAGGTGATATATGTATTTTGAATGTTCTTTTCTTTGCTGACGATGTGATATTATTTATGTCGTATCGACTCGTTTCATATTTGATTGTTCAGCAGAATTTAGTAAATAAAAAAAAAAAATGTAACTTTCAGTCCTTTAGAGAATGAACAGATCCGAGAGGTCACGACAGGTAACAAAGGAACAATAACAACACTTTCTCATTTCCTTGATTTTGAGCGTCCTCGTCTCCTCGTGCTCAATTCCTGAACTAAATCTCGAGGATCTAGGAGGTTTGCAGGAGAAGCAATAAGCAAAGGAAACACCGGTGTGTCCTTTGTCTAATTAAAGCAAATGTGTAGAAGCAGCTCCAGTTCATTAAGTTAAAGTTCTTTATTTGTGCATTTATATATTTTTATATACAGTATAAATAACAATTCTAGTGAAACAGCCGTCTTAGGCTCTCTCCAACAATACTACCACAAAATATATAATAAAATATACTAATATAAAATATAATAAAATATACTAATATAAAATATTATAATAAAATATAATATACTGTGAAATAATCTAATATGAAATAATACTATAATATGATATAATACAATATAAAATAACACAACAAAATAAAATATACCATAATATAATAAAGCATAATGTAATATAATAAAATATACTGTAGTCTAATGATGTGTTTTGTTGTTGTTGCATATATTTAAGGAGGCGGTGTTTGTACAATAATTCACTTATTTAATTGAAACTAATGTTCAGACCAGCTGTGGAGTGGTTGATCGCGTGAGCACATGCCAGGTGTTCCTCTGGTTACCTGCTCACAGGTTCATCAGACATCCTGTTGAGTTTTCCTCTGCTGCTGTCATCTCTCACTTCCCATTCAGCTCCGATCGGTTCCTTTATGCAGACGGATGATGTTTGAACCAATATTCTAATCCGTTTGTGTTCAACTCTTTCAGACCATTTAGAACCATGAGAGACCTCGGAGCGTCCTCACAATCCAACCTGACCAACGGCAGCTCGTCTCACTGCGACCAGGTGGACTCATCGGCCCACGTCTTCTTCCTGCTGGTCTACACGCTGGTGTTTCTGGTGAGTCTCCTTCTCCGTATATATAATAATAGTAATAGTAATAATAATAATACATCCTGACTTTAGATAGAATGCCGTACCCGTCTCTGTTCCTCTACAGGTGGGTTTGCTCCTCAACGGTTTCACCCTGAAGGTTTACTTCTGCCGCGCTCAGCAGGCGTCCAGCAGCGTGACGGTCTACCTGAAGAACCTGGCGGCCGCCGACTTCCTGATCAGCCTCTGTCTGCCGATCCGGATCACCAACTACGCAAGCGACTCCGTCTCCGTCCGCCGGGTCTACTGCAGCTTCGGCGCCTCCGCCTTCTACCTGAACATGTACGCCAGCATCCTGTTCATGGGCTACATCGCAGCCAACAGGTGATATGTTCCGCTAAATATGAATCTACAGCCAGCAGCTTGTTAGCTTAGCTTAGCATAGAAAGAAGACACACTTCATCTCCTGTAAATGTGCACGTGAGACCTTTTTTAAAATCATCATTTGCATGCAGTGCGTGAGCAGAGCGGTGAAAACCCCTTTTCATTATCTCACCGTCATGACTTCAGCTTCATGTCTCACTGTCACCGTTATCTGTTTGAACTACAGGAGAAGAAGAAATGCATTTGATTACATGCTAATTTAAGATTCCTCAAAACAACCATCTGATGTATGATACGTGTGTGTTGTTGGACGTTTATGTAAAGCAGCCGAGCACCATGCTGACACACACACAACAATACGCACCGATCACTGTTTACCTGTTACATGCAAAGCGCTCACATAGTATTCATATTAGTATTAACCAGTGGTGTATAAAGTACAACATGTACCTCTGAGTAGTGGTGTATAAAGTACCCAAAAGCCATACTTGAGTAAAAGTAAAGAGACCTTACTGGAAAACGACTCCAGTAAAAGTAAAAGTCACCTATTAGAATACTACTTGAGTAAAAGTCTTAAAGTATCTGATATTTATTGTACTTAAGTACCAAAAGTAATTTTCTGATATTAAATGTACTTAAGTATTGAAAGTAAAAGTACAAGTAAATGCTGTTAATAAAAAAGCAAAGGGTCAGAATTTTGAGAATTATGAAGTTTATTATTTTAAGTGCTGTGGCACCATGACCAAGGACATGGAGCTGTGTTGAACATAATTGTGTTGGCTGTGATCCATCCAGGAGCAACAATGTTCAACATAATATATTGTACATAAGTATACTTTTGCATCTACTATGAATTCTCCTAAAAGCAATATGACACTATGAAGGAGTTGTAACAGTGCGTTTATAAGTATGCTCATTCTGACTAGAGGATGTAGAGGACAAATGCATCATATTGTGTTCAGCAGAAAATATCCACTTGATGCATCAGGTCAGTGTTGTGAGAAAGGACGCCTGCCTTGTAAACTCCTATGGGCCTGATTTGAACACAAAGGTTTTGCTCAAGCTGAATCTGCAATTGGGCGACTGCTACCATCATAACTCCATCTGATCATCCACAAAATGACTCAAATATCAAAACATGATCAATGCTAAAGCAGCACCGAAAGTAACAACCCAGTCATTACTTGAACCTCAACAATGTCCTGTTCATCTTCAAAAGAAGTTGGTTTTCAAAATTGCGAGAATTCCGTCTCGCTCTTCTTGGGCTGAAGACTAGTCCTGATGCTACACAGCCTTTCACAGGCCGCTGAGGCAGGTAGAGGTGTGTTCAGCTTCACACACAGCTTGCACACAGCTGGGAAGGATTTCCCTAATGCTAACCCTAATGCTAACACTAATGCTAACTGTAATGCTAACCCTAATGCTGCGCTCTCGCGGCTCCTGTCAATCCTATGGTGTGGTGGCTAGCTAACGTTAAGTTAGCTAACTAGCCAAATAGTGCTGCAATGATTATAGCTAAGATGACTCAAATCAACAAAATCTCACAACTGTCAACACTTCCTCAGCTCACTAACTCGCTAGCGATCCACGGGTGTTGGTCTTCGTCACCACCGTCGTTTGTTTCGGGAGTAGCAGGTGTATCCACACTGGTCATAAAAGAGTCCAAGCTTCTTACTGATGTTCACCTTTATTATTGTCCTCTCATGGAACACCGTGAAAGCTAGAAGACACAAAATGGCTTCATGTACAAACAACAAAGAAACAAATACTCTGTTTCTCATCACCTACAACAAGTATAACAATACTTCAGTGGTGGGCCGTGCATTTTATACCTGGGCCTTCACTGCTGTCCTGCAGCTGAAATACCACCCAATAACCACATGATGGCACCACAGCTATTATTCATTTTTAGGGCTATAACTATGTACGTCTTCATATTAAACCGTTCGGTACGAGTCATTTGAATAATGCTAGAGCGTTTAGAAAATGCAAAAGCCTAAATTCATGAAAATATAATGTTCTCAGCTGGTCTGGCTGTGGGATCCACTGTCATTCCTTAATGACAAGCTGTGACCCAAAGAGCTTATCATAGGATTTTACTTTCACAACTTGAATGTTGAATGTACTGCTCTGCAATGTCTTTCCTCTTCTCAGTCTCCTGCCTCATGGTGCATCTCACTCAGTCAGAATGCCCATATTTGATTGGCTGAGCTGCATCACGTGATGTGATTCACTACCCATCAGTCTCTGCTGTTAAGTTTCGTTTCACGATAGTCATGTGCTCGCCCACTGACCAATCACAGCACACTCTGTACCTCGAGCCAGAGCTACACATGGACACTGAGCGGCATGTAATGCTGACGTCATTATAGGCCGGCGCGCAGGCTCTGACATGTCAAAGAATACGCCCAACATGTCAAACTAAAGATCTGATTGGTTGAACACTATGACAATCAACAATATCGTCCCCATTCACTTAAACTGCAAAGGGATTCACTTGTGAGTCTGCAGGCCTCGGGCCTCTGTTCTTACCTAGAGACACAGAGGTGAAATCTGATTGGATAAAAGCTCTACTTAAAACAAGCTGCACTGGAAGCAGAGCAACTGAGGAAGACAGTAGCTGTGCAATGAGAACATAAGATAATGGGGAAAATATTTATATAAATTATAATACATGTAGTGTATTTAAGAAAAATGATTAAATTATAAAATAGATATAGCTTTGTGATTCTGTTTAGGCCAGCAGAGAAGGCCTTGCAGGCCCTGACAGCCCACCACTGCAGTACATTAATCAGTTAACTTAATAAGCTTTACCGTGTTCGCCTGGTAGACCAGCAGTAGAATAACATGACGGGAAAGAAAAGGTTCGCTGGTTTCACCCGCCATTTGTCGTCTTTCTGAGCTCCGCTTAACTTCCGGGTTAATGGTCATGTTACAAAAACAAAAGCTCGTCTATCATCATCAGTAAAACAAGGGCAAAACGATAATGAGTTTAACACAAGGTACCCAAAATTACAGTAAACATAACATGTATTATAATTGCAGAAATAAACTAATAATAATACAAATCGCGTAAGTCAACTTCGGGTGTTGTCATGGCAACGTTTATACGCCGGTCAGCGTCAGCTACAGCAGGTGCTTCCATTTCTGCTTCCGTCATGAAATCAGTCATCGTAGAGTGGAATTATACTCATGTAGTCTTGCTAGCTATAGCATATAGCATCCTGGGCATCACTGGGAATCAAAACACCGCGGCTTTGAGAGCACTTGTTTGCAATTGCGCATTAACGTGATTAACCAATGATTTAACTTGCAAGCTAGGACCACTGATTCACCAAACCTGCTTGTTGCAGTCTCTGTTCCACCACAGTCCCCGACGCTGGTCTCATGATTCATTATGTTTCTAAAGATAGATTTGATTTTGTAGTGAGTAACGAAGGTTTCAGGGGAAATGTATCGGAGTAAAAGTATCAGTTTTCTTTGTCAACAGAAATATCAATAGTAAAGTAAAGTACAGATATCCAAAAAAGTGATGGTTCATAATGGATACGCAGTGACGGTTCATAATCTATACGCAGTGACGGTTCATAATCGATACGCAGTGATGGTTCATAATGGATAAGCAGTGACGGTTCATAATGGATATTTATAATCGATACACAGTGACGGT